ATCGACACGCATCGACATGGATGATGAGCACTATGACCACTTTATTTTACAGGTATGTTCTTCATTTTCTCTATTTTTTGTTTAAGGTTCTTATTTTTCTACTGTTACTGTTCCAGTATTCGTAAACCACCTCCGGAATGAACTGAAAACCATATGGAGTTTAAATTAAAGATGGCATTGCTGTAGGACCAATTGAAAAGTAGTTTAGATGTTTAGGTATTGTTGATTTACATCGAAATGTCGTGTATCAGATCTTAAGATTTCATTTCGGAAGCCTCCAGAGCGCAAAGAACTGTCCTAGAACATGATGAACTCGTCCAGAACATGAAGAAAAGGTCCGAAACTGGTTCGAAATATTGGTCATTTCCATTTTAGAATGAAGTGATAATACCTTTTTTTTATTTGTGCAGCACGACATGGTTTTTAATGCATCAATTACACTCTAGTGTAAACCTAAAATCGGCGGGGAAATTCTTGCGGCATTTAGAAACAGTGCGAGATTAAGTTCCAAAATACATGTTTTGGGAGGTGGTTAGATATTTCTAATGTAGATGAGGATCCTTTGCTTCTACATTACGTCTTTTGCCACGAAGTTGTCACCGACCCCGAAGCTAAGTAAAAGAAATGGTTTTTGAGACTGGGGGTTACGAGCTGTCTTTCGGGAAGAAAGAATTTTGTCTTATCACTGGCTGCCGGTTTGGTGACTATTTTCCTGCTTCTGCATCCGGCGCCGCCTTCCATTCCCGTGCCTTTCCTATGGTCCCGACGAATGTCTCGATCAAATTACACCATGTTACAGATGTGTTTAAACATTCACTTAATGAGTTATCGGACGAGGATGCAATCCGTGTATGTATTCTATATCTGTTAGAGAAAGGTTTCAATGGGCGGTTGGCCAAAAAGCCTGTTACAAAAGAGTATTTCGTTTTGCTATCCAACCTTGATGAATTCAACATGTATAATGTCGTCTATTTATTAATTATTGATTATAATTACTTATTGTTACTAATATTTTTTTTAGAAATTTAATTGTTAACTAATTTTTATGTGGCAGATATCCATGGGGGAGGATAATTTGGGATCAATTGTACAAAATACTTTTTATTGTATTTAATAAGGTTTACAAGTATATACATCCAGACGAACCGAAAGAGAACGAACCTTAAAAATTGACCTACACCCTACATGAGTTTTTATACGCTTTTAAGGTAAGTATATGATGGAGAATGTATTATTTTTTTGCTTGCTAACATTCTAACTATTTTTTATTTATTTGTTTGCTAACATATATATATATATATATATGTATATATATATATATATATATATATATATATATATATATATATATATATATATATATATATATATATATATATATATATATATATATGGATTCTTGAGACTTTTCTGGTGATGGTCAAAACTGAGGCCGTTACAAAAGACTCACTACAACCGGTTTTTACAAATCGACAACATATGGTTACTTAATTATTTAAATATTTATTTATTTTATAATTTATGTTTATTTATAATTTTATAATTTTGTTAGAAGGGTAATAGACTTGTACCGAAGTTGGAGCCGACGGAAGATGAGATGTGTGCTGAATGGTGGATTGTTAGCTCGGCATGGATTGATCGCCCTGATTTTCCCGACACTGAAGTTCACAGGACACCTTCCCTAACACCATCACCCAAAATCTCCCCTACCCATGAGCATCGACAAAAGAATGCACATATAGATGATCCATCTCACCCGCCACCATCACCACCATCGACCGCTGACCCATCAACTGACAAGGACCAAATTATTAGTGACTTGCAGAACGAGGTTGGTCAATTGAAAAATGAGGTCCGTGAATATGGCGAGCAGTTGCGCTCCAGGAGGAGCGTTTAGCATAGCATGAGGCTACTTTAGCCATGGTTCTAAAACTTATCAATCAGACTCCCGAAAACGATGTTGGTACCTTAAAGGGGATGGAGGTATACTTTTAATTATTCCATCGTTTATGGTTGTTATGTTTTTCATCGTATACAAGTATACATTATTGAACCGTACATGGATACTACAATGACAATGAGTTATAGGAGCATGATTACGTATTAAGCACCCCCGAAAATCCGTTGAATGTCCGCCCTGAATAGCCGTTGAATGACGGCCCTGAACAGCCGCTGAATGTTGGCCCTTAGCAGCCGTGTCCGGTTATTCACTCGTCGGATGTAATAGAGATTCCGCGGGATGAATACAAAACACCGTCGCCAGCATCTCTTAGGCGTTCTAAACGCCAAGAAAAGTTATGTCCATATGGTATAAGTCACCATGGATACAAATGAAGAGGAAAGGTGTTACACAGCAACAATCAGCACCATTGGACAATCTTTTAGATCCTACTGTACACAGTGTATATAAAGAACGGGATGGTTCGCTGTTGTTTGGTCACAATTATTTGACCGGTTTTGCTACGCTTGAGTTTTGGACACAGTTATATGCAGATAGTCATAGAGGATGGTTGTCATGTGATGTAAGCAATATAATTATTTACTTATTACACACTACGCTTCTAATAATAATATTTACTTTACTGCAAAAAAATTAATTGGTAGCACATCATGATGTGGATCTCATTGTTGGTAGAGTGTAGAGTGGATGATGCTCGGTGGACGGTTGTGCCGTCAGCTTTCAACACTGATACATATGATTGGAGTGACATGGCTGACGGATCTGTTTACCCAGCTTGGGCCGCAGTGTGTAATAAAGTATAATTTTGTTTGGATAACATTACCTAAGTATATATATATATATATATATATATATATATATATATATATATATATATATATACTAATTAATTATTTCTAACCTTTTTTGTAGCTTTACATTCCAATCAATATACCACATGCTCATTGGTTTTTGGGTGCTTTGGATTTGAAGATATTCCAAATGACTATATATGATAGTTATTGGAAGGGCGACTACTGTTCGAAAAATGAGGATTGGTTTATAGGTATGAGAGCCCGCATCCACAAACTGCTAGTGGGAGTCAACTACTGGGGTACCGAACCAACTGATTCAATACCACTCGAGAGCTTCAAGATGACCCTCGAAATGACCCAGACGTACCACAACAAATTGACAGCAGAGGGGATTGTGGGGTGTTTTTGTGTTGGTTCATGGAGGCGTTGATCACCGGGAAATCAATTTCTATAGAGGGTAAAACCACCGGTCCATAGACTATGAGTTATAGAAAACGACTTGCGGAAATATTTTGGGTACAAGGACAAAGATAATTTGAACTTCGTATTTGTAATGACCTACATACACATCTTTTATTTAGTTTATGTATTTGTTAGTTGTTTGTTCATTTTAATTGCATTTTATATTTTATAAAACAAAAAATTATACATTTTATGAAAGCGAAACTTATACATTATACTTCGGAACTGTGTATTACAAATGTATTTCGGAACCATGTATTACATTTTATGAAAACAAAACTTACACGCAAAAAAAAAGTCAAATCTATTCCGGAACCATAGTCCGAAATCGTACTCCGAAAATTACAGAGACCTTTCCAAAACAATGTATTTCGGAAAATACGGTTACTTTAATAAAAAAAATTGTGGTATTTTTGTCAAAAAGTTGTTTATAGAAGTTACTTAATTTCCCATTCCTTTAACTATAATATCTACATGATTAATGTTTAAAAAAAAAAAAAATCTATCCCGCCGTTACGGAGCACAAGATTTTTTACTAGTTACACATTAATTTTTAAAATTTTATTCTTTCATTTGATATGTAGAGAATAAATCATATAGTAGTTGGTAATGGTTTTTTAATAATAATATCAAGAAACATGTGGTGAAGGAATCGTGATGACATTTGTTTAATATTTATAGTCATATGGAATCCAAGGGTAAACGAGTAAGGATCACCCTCATTGGAGCGACATTGTTCTCATATTTCACAGTATTGTTTATTTTATTTTGTTAATCATTTTATGGCACGTTTAATTTACAACTCACATTTGAAAGGACTTTTACAAGTTTTATTTGTGACATTTGTCAACAACTTACATGACAAGATCGTAAGTTTAACTTCATGGAAGAAATTACGAATATTTGTTTGGATGGATTGGTTAGATTTGATCTGATCAACCAAATACAAATTTGTTTTAGTGTTCAAATATGGATCAACATATTTCAAATTAAATTCAAATCCAATCCAAATAAATTAAATTGTAATTCGTTTTGATCAGTTTTGCAATTTGATTTTTAAAAACCAAAGATTATAAAAATATACATATAACTTGACCATTAGCAAACTTGAGTTGTCAAATTTAACTCTATGAATTATTCAACGTCTTGTTTCTTAATCTACCGCAATGATAAAGAAAAAAATTTAATTAATATCCTATAAAAGTAAGGATTAAATATATTGCCCTTATTAATTTACTAATAAGTATATGCCACACTTAAAATGTTTACAACTTGATAAAATGAAGTATTAACAGAATATAAGTGTCACCAAAAGATTACACAAATAAAGATCGATGCTCATATTTAGACCAATAAACTATTAAACCTATGCTGCATTTTTTGGACAGGAGTCCAATTTGAGAACCAAAACTACTAATTATTTGTGTTCTTGAAGCTGTAACGAATAGAGTTTGTAGTTATCTTGCATCATGATGCTATTTTTGACCATTCTTAGTGTCAAAGATTCAACTATATATGGGCAATAATCAATTGTGGGGCAGATGATTGTTGTAAACAGAAAGCTTCACATACATCTTTTAGACAGTAAAGACAATAGCAAAACTATCATCCTTGTTTCTAACAAGCTATATATCGTCCTAGCTTCTCCCCACCGAGTTCGGAAATTAGTGGGCATTTTGATTCTTTTTATGAATCTGTAATTCTCATTTTAATTGAACATAATTCTACATCAATATATGGATAATTAGATGGGAAGTAACAAGAAACATTAATCTGTTTACATGTCAAGATGATCTAGCTTTCGGTGGTGCCATTACGACTAACTTGGATGGATTTGTCCAAGAATCCATTTCATGGATAACCTTGCTTCCGTCACTTTCTACCACCACCACCTCTCCAAAGTGCACATGCCTTGAACCAACAACATTGGTCGCACCTGATGGCTGTGGCTGTGGCTGTGGCTGTGGGGGTTTATCCTTGGATAAGGGCCTACCCGTGGCTTGGTCTTGGCTTGAGATCATGGCATTCTGACGAGGTGGCATTGGATAAATAGGACCCCCTCGCCTTGAATAATTCTGATGGACGTCGTACGGGTAGGAAATTTCTCTAGGACAACAAGTACCCTTGAAGCACGTATACAAATAGGTCAACATCCAAAAGGCCCAAGGAGAGCCTATCAGAAGAAATGCAACTACAGGAAACCATGGCTGGGCGATGCTGGGTAGAAAAACGTAGAAAGTGAGGAAAATACCACCGATGATTACCAAAACGAAGAAGAGAGAGGAGATTAAAGGTACCCTCAAATCTCCATCCCTTACATCCTCCATTGTCTTAAATCCTTGTCTCGTTCTATCAACATAATTTCATTCGTTCTCTTCGTATATTTACCTTCTCTTTCTCTCTCCTTAACTTCCTGTTTTAGGGCTTTCATTAATGTTTGTTAAACTTGTCTATTTACCCACCATGCATGTTGGAAAAAATATAGGGCTTCTATAAGGGAAATCTCCTATATTTTTTCCTCGCAGCCTTTCATTGTTTAAAAGAAAATTTAGTAAAATTAAATTCCAACCCAGCTAAACTAAATCTTTTTAAATACTCTACAAGATGCTATAAAACATATCTTGTTACACATTATATAAGGGAATATGACACAAATGTGGTACGAACCTTCTAAGGTTGGTCACTTTAGTCCCTAAATTATTTTCGTTGCTTTATGAGAGAATAAAATCGTTTTTGTTGGGTCTATTAGGTTCTTTTGGAAGATTGGAAGGGGTAAGCCGGTGACATTTTTGTCACCTCATTTGATGAAATGCCATTTATCCTTTTAAAAATCTCCCAAGAAATTCAACTGTGTTTGACTAAAGAAATTCAACAAACATTATCAGGAATATATCAAACTACTCTTTGATTAATTTGGAAATATAACTCAAAAACCAAATTAGTTTACAGTGTGTTTTTGTTTCTCTGTGTTGGTGTGTATTACCCTCTTGATAATGCACTGTATTTATAAGATGGACTAAATCATTTCCAATCCTATAATAATAAACATGAGACCCAACCAACTTGTTGGTGTCCCCTACTTTATTTGTGGGTGGAAGACATGAGTGGAGTGAAATGAGGAATTAGGATTCCAACAATCACCCCCGAATCTCTAAGTCCTTCTAGAGATGTCTTCAATCCTGATCAAGTCCCACATTATCTTGAACTTGGTTCGAGCCAACGGTTTTGTGAGAATGTCTGCCTTTTGTTCTTCACCTGGAATGTACTCCACCTCCACTTGTTCCTTTTCAACGCAATTACGAATGAAGTGAAACCTAGTGTGAATGTGTTTACTTCTTCCGTGAAAAACGGGATTCTTCGTTAGTTCGATAGCCGACTTGTTATCAACTCTAAGAACCACCTTCTCTTGCGTTTTGTTCAAGATTTCTCCCAGCAAATCTTGAAGCCATATTGCTTGACATGCAGCCGCAGTGGCTGCCATGAACTCTGCCTCGCAAGATGATAAAGCAACAGTATCTTGCTTTTGCGAACACCATGTTATTGGAGACAACCCATAGTAGAAAATATGACCAGTTGTGCTTCTTCCGTCATCTGGATCAACATTATGACTACTATCACTGTAACCAATTATTCGATTTTGTTCCATCCTCTCGTACTTGATTCCGTATCCCGTTGTTCCTCGTAAATACCTTAGGATGTGTTTGATTGCAACACCATGTGATTCTCTTGGATCTTGCATGTATCGACTAACAACTCCAACCGCATATGCCATATCGGGTCTTGTCTGCAAGAGATATCTAAGGCATCCTACCAACTTTTGGTATTGTGTCGGGTCGATTTCGGGTTCATCTTCGGCCTTCGACATTTTGGTTCCTGGATCCATGGGAATGTGGGTAGGATTGCAATCATGTAAACCGGCTTCCTTCAAAATGCGTTGTGCATACGCTTCTTGGTTTATTGTAATCCCCGATTCATCCTGTTTGACTTCAATGCCCAGGTAGTAAGTTAATCTTCCAAGATCAGACATCTCGAAGTTCTTGGACATTTCAAATTTGAACCTTTTGATCATGCTCAAATTTGTACCCGTGACAAACAAATCATCAACATAGATTGCTAAAATTAGCAAGTTGGATCCTTCGTTCTTCCGGTACACCGATGGTTCTTTCATGCACTTGTGAAACTTCATTCCTTTCAAAATCCCATCAAGTTTCGTATTCCATGCTCTCGGTGCTTGTCTAAGACCATATAGTGCTTTTGAAAGACGGTACACCTTGTGCTCGTCGCCTTTCCTTATGTAGCCTTCCGGTTGATACACATAGACGGTTTCTCTCAACTCTCCATGTAAGAAAGCCGTCTTGAAGAAAGCTCCCATCCATTGGTAGCGGCTAAGGCAATGAGAAACCGTATGGTTTCGATGCGAGCTACCGGAGCAAATACTTCTTGTAAGTCAATGCCAGGTTGTTGTACGTACCCTTTAGCAACCAATCTTGCCTTGTGTTTGTTTATGGTGCCATCTACATTTTTCTTCAGCTTGAACACCCATTTGAGTCCAATGGGCTTCACCCCCATAGGCTTGTTTACGAGAGACCAAGTATTGTTCTTGTTGATCGAATTGATCTCTGTATTCATGGCTTTGACCCATTGTGGTTCTTTCTTTGCCTCTTCAACCGATACCGGCTCGTCATTGGTTGCTAGGAGAAGTTCTTCAATATCATCAACATAAAGTACATAATCTCGTAATCGAATTGGAAGCACCTTTGGTCTTGTGGGCCTTTGGTTTTGAACATTGTTTACGTTGTTGTTGACCGGACTTGGTTGCTCATTTTCTTGTACCTCCACTCCGTCTTCAATCTCGTGATCCGATTCGTTTGGTTCAATTGGTTCGTTGTTTACATCGTTTCCTTGGTTGTTGTTCGCCTTATCTTCCGGTAAATCCCATGGTACTATGAATGATCCTGGTTCTTCATTGTCGGGTGTAGCTTCGTTAACCCAATTCCACCCTTTGGTTTCATTAAAAATAACATCTCGAGTTACGATTATTTTTTGTGTAACCGGGTTAAAAAGACGATAAGCTTTCGTACCGGGTTCGGAACCAAGATGCACCAGTGGTCTTGATCTATCATCCAACTTCTTCACGTTTACCGGTTCAACTTTTGCATACGCTAGACACCCAAAGATGCGTACGTTCTCCAAATTAGGTTTTCTTTTATACAACTTCTCGTACGGAGTTGTATTACCAAGTACTCTTGTGTAAACACGGTTGATCAGGTTTGTGGAGTGTTTTATCGCTTCTCCCCATAGATAGTTTGGAACATGCATCGCCTTCATGATACTTCGTGTCATGTCCATAAGTGTTCTGTTTCTTCGTTCCACAATACCGTTTTGTTGTGGTGAATATGGGGCGGTAAGATGACGTTTGATTCCATTTAGATCACAAAATGAATTGAACTGGAGTGAGGTAAACTCACCCCCTCGATCACTTCGAAACACCTTCAAAGACTTTCCAAGCTCATTCTCCGCCAAAGCTTTGAACTTTTTGAAGTGTGAAAACGCCTCACTTTTCTCTTTTAAGAGAAAAATCCACATATACCGTGAAAAATCGTCAATTAGTGTGAAAATGTACCGATTTTGACCCTTCGCTGACGGTGTTATCGGACCGCATAAATCACCGTGAACTAGCTCCAATGGCCGTGTTGCTTTGTACGCCGTCATTAATGGAAATGACTTTCTTGTTTGCTTGCCCACCAAACAAGACTCACATAATTGATTTTCATTGTCAAAATGTGGTAACCCTTTAACTAGACTATTCTTGGACATCTTCTTCATAGACTCGAAATTGATGTGCCCAAGTCTTGCATGCCAGCGCCACGTGTCTTCACTTAGTCTTGAATGAAGGCAAATAGGTACTCCAATGGGCAACTGTATTTTATAAAGGCGGTTTGGAGTTCTTTGTACCTTCATTAATAAGCAGTTGTCGGCATCATGCATTGTCAAATAGTTGTCTTTCATCCGAATATCGCACCCGGCTTCGGTTGCTTGTCCGAGACTAAAAATATTATTTTTCAAATCCGGAATAAAATAAATCTCCGTTATCAATCGTTGTTGCCCCGATTTTCCTTGGAAAACAATTGAGCCTTTCCCTTTTATTTCGACACACGAATTATCACCGAATTTGACCTTTCCGGTTATTCCTTCGTCGAGTTCGGAGAAAAATGAACGATTTCCTGTCATGTGATTACTCGCCCCGTTGTCCAAATACCACACATCGTTGTCTTGTGAGTTGTATTTGGATGGCATCACCTTTTCTTCATTTAGAAACACTTTTTCATGAAAAAATACAGTTTCATCAGCGTCGTCTTGCTCGGTGAAATTGCTTTCTTGGAATTTTTGAATTCGTTCCGGACATTTGGATGCGTAATGGCCCGACTTATCACATCTGTAGCATATAATCTTCGACATATCTTTTTTCGGGTTTCGGTTTGAGTCCGAATTGGAATTGGGCCGGTTATTGGGCTGTTTGGGCTTATTATTGGGTTGGGTCGATTTTGACCCGGATCCAACGGTTGACCCGGATTCGCTACCCCACCCGCTTGAGCCATTTCGATTAAAGCTTCCCGACTCGGTGCCATTAGAACCCTTCCCCCGTTTTCCCCAATTCGTCTTCCCCGACGATCCAGAACCTCCTCCGCCATCGTTTCTCCATCCGCCACCACCACTCGTTCTAGCCATCAACACCTTTTGTTGCCCGTCTCCGTCCTCATCTGCTTTGATTCTTTCTTCATATGCTTTCAGACGTCCTACGACGTCGTCGAAGGATACCGTCTTCAAATCGAGCACTTGCTCGAGGGAGGCGACGATCTGAATGAACCGGTGAGGTACCACCGTCAAGAGTTTCTTCACGAGTTTCGTTTCTCCGATGGGTTCTCCCAGTGACGCTGACTTCGAGGCGATTCCAGCGAGCTTTCCGGCGAAAGCGTCTATCGTCTCTGTCTCCTGCATCTTCAGTCGGTCTAGATCGGCGGTGAGTGTTTGAAGTCGGGCCTCTTTTACTCTGTCGGCTCCAACATGTCGAGCCCTAATCGACTCCCAGAGGACCATCGCTTTATCGACGTCCCCTATCTACATTATCAAGCTCTCAGGGATTGCTTGATACAACAATCCAATGGCAAGGTAATTCTTTTCTTCATTTTCTTCTCCTGGATCAATTACTGACCAGCTTTTATGAATTCGTAGGACAACTTTCATACGGAGGGACCAGACCATGTAATTGGTCTGGTTTAGCATTGGGCAAGCCACTGATGTGGTTCCAATTTCTTTGATTCTGACC